TATTCAACTAAATTCTAATGGAGAACATCATCCAATTGACACAACCTTTTTATTTTTAGTTTGTTTTTTAAAATAATTAGGTACGTTAATTGTAAGTTAAGAGTTATTGACTTCTACGTTTTTTTTTCCTTTATTTTAGTGCAATTTTAAAGGCCTGTTATAAATAATCTTTTATGAGGTTTATTTGTTTAACCTAAATGCAGTCAATCTTTTTTCAATTCCTCAGATATGCAGGTTTCCTCAAATACATGGTAGTATATTATACTTCTATGGTAAATATTATAATAATTTAAATTGCGATTAACAATTTCAGAAGCACCGATTGATAATTGGTATAACAAAGATCGATCCATCCACTACAGCCCATAAAAGTCCACTGCTAAACATAGGCCTCCACCATACCTTTATATAAAAACCAATATACCTTTGTATAAAATTATGAAATAAAATTACAATATAAAAATACGACTTTTTTGACCCAGTTGAAAAAACTAGAAGGTTCTGTTTTAAACGAAAATTATTTGTATGTTCACCGATTTTTCGGAAATGGCTGAATCCTTTTTTATTTATTTAGTTATCTCCTCAACAGCATCTTTCGAGATGGCGTCATTTCTTATATGCTGCAACCATTGCGGTTTGTATTTACTGCCCGGTAGAAATAATTAACTTAATTTCGTGTTTTGTTTAAATATATGGGTATAATGATAGGGTTTATACAGTAAAAAAAATAAAAATGTTTTTCTCATCTAAATTTATATATCATTATAATCCATTATATTAGACATATATAGATACACTGATTCATTCACTGCAAATGTAACTTTGTCACCCTATATATTTATAGGTGATTATAAAGTTATTTATGCAGTTGGTGTATCTCAAAAACTGGACCGTAATTGCAAAATATTTTAACTTTTCCTTAATTTTTATACTAAACGATAATTGTATTCCAAATTTGAAGCTTCTATGTCTGCTAGAAGCCTTAGACTTTTGATGATCGGTCAGTCAGTGAGTGACAAAATTAAGAAACTTTGACTAGTTATAATTCTTAAACTTTTTTTTTATAGGAGAAAACAAACAAACGAGCATGCGGCTCACCTGATGGTAAGTGACTACCGCCGCCCATGAACAACTGCAACACCAGGGGAATCGCAGATGCGTTGCCGGCCTTTTAAAAAGGAGTACGTTCTTTTCTTGAAGGTCCCTAAGTCGTATCGGTCCGGAAAAATCGCTGATGGTAATCGTTTCCACAAGGAGGTCGTGCGAGGAAGAATACATCTTCTAAATCGCACAGTGGTGGACCGCCAATCATCCAGATGGTGTGAATGGTATCGCGAGTGCTGCCGCTATGTGCGTTCGTGAAATTTGGCGGCTGGGATTAATCCGAACAATTCGTCAGAGCACTTCCCATGGTAGATGCGAAAGAAAATGCAAAGGGATGCAACATCTCTTCGCAGTGCCAATGAATCGAGCCGATAGGAAAGGGCTCGGTCGTCGACGATTCGAGCAGCTCTGCGTTGGATGCGGTCAAGTGGAAGGAGCTGGCACTGGGGAGCCCCTGCCCAGAGATGGGAAGAGTATTCCATGTGAGGCCGAACTTGCGCCTTGTAAAGTTGCAGGCGGTGTGCCGGCATGAAATACTGTCCCGCTCTGCTGAGCACGCCAAGCTTTTTAGAGGCCAATTTGGCCTTCCCTTCCAAGTGACCACGAAACTGCACGTCACTCGATATGTCGACTCCGAGGATACCGATACTGGCTGAGACAAGAAGGGGAGTGCCTTGAAACTGAGGAGATACGACAAAGGGGTTCTTTTTAGCGGTAAACGCGCAAACTTGTGTCTTCTGAGGATTTAACTGGACTAGATTTAGTCGCCCCCAATCCGAGACTTTGCTCAGCAAAGACTCGACTTCAGACACAAGTTTTTTCCGGTACTCAGCGACGTTTCTCCGAGAAATATTGGCACGGCCGGTGTATAGAGCATCACCAGTGCTGTCATCCGCATAGCAATGAATGTTACCAGTTAGCAACATATCATTGATATGCAGAAGAAACAGCGTTGGTGATAGCACACAGCCTTGTGGAACACCAGCGTTAATAGGCTTGTAGTCAGAGCAGGCACCGTCTACAACGACCTTGATGCTCCGATCTGCAAGGAAGCTGGTGATCCAATTGCACAATTTCTCGGGAAGCCCATAGGAAGGGAGCTTCGAAAGAAGCGCTTTGTGCCAAACCCGATAGAAGGCCTTCGCAATGTCCAGACTAACGGCCAACGCCTCCCCCTTAGACTCTACTGCCTCCGCTCATCTATGGGTCAGGTAGACCAGAAGATCACCAGCTGATCGACCCCGACGAAAACCGTATTGGCGGTCACTAATCAGCTGGTGATCCTCAAGGTACCGGATGAGCTGGCAGTTAATAATGGATTCCATTATTTTGGAGAACAAGGAGGTGATCGCGATAGGCCTATAGTTGGATGGGTCTGAGCGGTCGCCTTTTTTAGGGATCGGGTGGACAAAAGCTGTCTTCCATGAATTCAGGACTACGCCTTGGGAGTAGGAGTACCGGAAAAGACGCGTTAGGACCGGTGTCAACTCCGGAGCACACGTCCTCAGCACAATTGGGGGGATTCCGTCAGGCCCACTCGACTTCTGGATGTCCAGGGAGAGCAGTGCTTTGCGAACCGAGCGCTGTGAGAACAGCACATCCGGCATGGAGCACTCACACCGCGGGATGGTCGGCGGTGTTTTCCCCCCGTCATCAAGAGTCGAGTTGGACGCAAAAAGGGAGCCTAAAAGGTCGGCTTTGTCTTTTGCGTCATGGGCCAGTGAGTCATCCTCCCTGTGCAGAGATGGTAGTGATGGCTTACAGAAATTCCCTTGGACAGCCTTGGCGAGAGACCAGAATGCACGGGTTCCCGAAGGAAGGCGAACTAGTTTCTCGCCAATTCTGCCTATGTGCTCTGACTTTGCCTTGGCAATAACTCTTTTGAAGGACCTGGAGGCGAAGTTATACTTCTTTTTAAGTGTGCTGGTGTTTACATCCCGAGTCGCCGAAGCCGCAGCCCAGGCTTGATAATATTCCTGCTTACTGCGTAATGCAGTCTTACAGGAGCGACCAAACCAAGGCTGAGATCTGCCTCCGATGGGTACCACAGATGATGGAATAAATAGTTCCATTCTCTGTAGCACCACATCAGTGACAGAGTCAGCAACAGCGCTGGGATCGTCCGGCGAGAAGCAAACCCGCCCCCATGGGTAGGATGCAAAGAAAGACCGCATTCCGTCCCAATCCGCCGACCTGTAATGCCAAACACGGCGGCAACCTGCAGAACGCAACCGCGAAGGGAACGTGAGTGGCACCACACTCCGGATCAGACAAACAACTACAGGTTCAAATTAAATGACATTTGAAATATACAGAGTTTATACAATGTATACTTGGTTACTGAAAATTCAGGCTTCTAGTTTTATCCACAACGAAGTTATAGGGTTTCGAATATGGCCTGAACTGCTTCGATAAGAGGATGGTACGGTCGTGCCGCCTTTTTGCTCGACTTGGCGGGGGCACTGCCGTGTCCCCAGATAGGTGCAATATTATATTAGATGCATCGGCTGAATATAATTCAGACCGCTAGTTGAACGGCGCCGTTTAGAAAAAGGCTAGACTATTAACTTAAAGACTAATTAAATAATTGGCTAATATATAACATATAGAGTATAGATAAAATAACGTGAAGAGTATAAAATCCCTTTGGCTGAATGTGCTGATTATTGGCTGAAGTAGGAAATCAGAATCTGGTGGTTTAGAATTCATCCTGTAAAAATATCGTACTGAAAACATTATCTTGAAAATAAATTCGAAGCGACAGTAGCCTGATGGCAGAGTGGGGATAGTGAACTCAAAAGGTCGCTCGCTATTTGACTAATATCTTGAATCACTCCTAATACAAGCATTCTAAGCTTACCAGTAGTGGTTAAATTAGAAACGGAAAAAACTCTCGCGTGTACCAAAGTAGAGCAACTGTTTTTTTTGACCATGTGATATGAGCTCTTTTAAAAAAATCCAGAATTGGCTATTATGGCAACTTTTTATAAACTGAAGTCCTAAACGAACTTACAGTCCACCTGACGGTAAGAAGTTCCTACAGCCCATAGACACCTGCAAACAACTTAAAACAAAAAATGCCACAGATGCGTTGTCACCTCCGACGACTACGATGGGATGCCTCACAGCCTGCAATTATACATATTGGTTTATACCCTTCAGAATGAAACATAGCAGTACAAGTACTGCTAATTCGCAAGGAATGCCACAAACCATGATCCTGTATCCATCGACTTCCGGTCGTAAATAAAGTGTTTATCAAGAACCGGGCCGCCCTACACTTCGCTTACCGGTACGAGCCTGTCACTCGTAAACTTTTCATCCCCATCATATGTTTTTGGATCTTCGTCTATGACCCGCCTATCACCAGATTTTTATTTCTTTAAATCTAAAATTTGTCTCTCAATTAAATTTTGCGTAGAGTTGTATTTTATCATAAAAAGGACAAAGGATAATTTTTTAACGCTAAGAATGAGCAAAAGGCGGATATTTATCGGGCTGTAAGACACATCTAAGTACTTCTCCAAATGTCAATTATATCTGCACGTGGTGCAAGCCCCTAATTAATGAACAGGAATCCAATGGGAGACTGAATCGTAGCGCTGTATCGTAGGTTGGTGGTGGGAAGCAGCGGATAGCATAAGTACGAACATATAGTATTTATATATAAGGGAACCTGCTTAGCACGGGTGATTTCTGAATCTTGACAACAGCGCCATCTGCCGGGTCTAATTGTAAGTCTAAACCATTTAGTGATCTACTCAAACATACACAAAAGATTACCAAATCAGTTTATTCATTTAAGAGTTCAGTGATAAATACTCGTACAGGAGAATTATATGTATATGTATACATATATATATATATATATCTGATTGAAGGCCGATTTGGAGCAAATGAGAAATCCTGTGCGGCGAGACAGATCGACGGAGAGTCAGTATTATGTGTATGCAACTCCACATACTGCGACGAGTTCACGAGAGAAATCCCCCAGAAAGGACACTACGTCACTTATACGTCATCCAAGGTAAATTTACGTGCATTGGTTTAGTATTTTTTCCTTAACACTGCGCAAAACTGCACAAAACAGTCCACCGCTGGGTGTTGCCCTATTTAAAAGTTCGGTCTTCTAACAATAATAATCAACTAACTTTTTAAATAAAACTAAATTTACGGATTTTATCGCGTATATTATATATTTCGGACGTTTCGAGCACTTTTCAGCACCCATGGTCACGGGTAGGACTGAGGTGTATGACGTCCCAATGTCATAGTTAACGGCTACCTTCAGAATTATTGATTTTTGTTCCGATCTACGCAGTATGAACTTACAGTATCATGAAGTCTTACAGTTGTATGCTTGGGTTGGGATTTAATTTTATTAATTAGGGCATCCCAAGCGGATGGTAGCTATAAGAAATCATTAAATCAACTAATTTATTGACATGAAACTTAGCTATCTACATATATTTAATATAACAAAAACTTAACTTCGTTTCACTGATCTGAACATGTGGTTATTGTTATAAAATCCCTAAGAGATGCAGGTTCCATACTTTGTTTCACGTGGTAAATATACTTTTAAAATTGCACAAAAATTTTAATCATTTTTTTTTTATTATCTTTTTAAAAAATACTAGTAATGCTATTAAACATTATTAATGTTCCCTTTAACCACTTCTGGTAAGCTTAAAATGCTTGTGATAGAAGTAGTTCACGACAGTAGTCGAATGGCGGATTCGATCCCACGACCTTTCGAGTTCGCGGTCAGTGCCCTGCCTTCAGGCTACTGACGCTTTTACGCTTTCTCATTAATTTATCATTTTCCTTGGGTTGCTAGGGTACTATATTCTCTTTAGGTAAAACTATTATAAATAAGCCAAATTAAATCTTAAGCCGAACGCTTCGGCCATACGCGAATAAAATGTTTATTTCGAGATTAATGTTTTCCTTCAGCTTTTTAGGTTTTCCTTATTACTTTCTTATTTATATCTAATTTAATGTCTATTATCTAGGAAGGCTCACGTTTTAAGAAAACCTTTGGAAAATTCAAGCTAATGGGCGGTCAAGGTAAGCTATTTTATTTTAAAGATTTAAACCATTTTAAAGAACAATTATTCCTGGATTTCTGGCGGTATGCCATTCGCTACTCAGTTTTGGGTTTCTTCACAGAAAACCTAACGCATCACCTATAGTTTCGCCGATATGTGATGCTGTGTTTGAGTTAGAAGTTATATATACAGGAATAAAACTCATCGCGTCACCTATGGGAAAAGGACAGAACAACGTCCGCTGGGACTGAACATGATACTTGTGATAATGGTGTAATAAGGCCAACCAAAAGATGACTGTTGACAAACTACATAATCTACAAAGGAATGCCTGTTTAATGGCAATTGTAGCGACGCAATCGCCTGTAGCGACTCTTAATGCACCTCTATACCCCTTGATTTTTGTGTAGATAAGAAGTGAGAGATGGTTTGTAGTGAATTAAGGGACAGGGTGGTCTGAACGTTTTGGTGGTTTATCAATGGGTCAAAAATGGGCCTCGACGTAGGCTTTGGAACTTGTGGGTGTGGCCCCAAATTGAAGCTTAGTATGAATTTGAGATTATTCAGCTCTACCGTTCAGGCAGACATTTTCACCATACTTCGTTCTCAACGCACTTACTACGTTACTTCGTAAATCAAGCTCCAAAAACACACTACGTCAATCATATTATTTATAGAAACTCTACAGTCAAGCAGCACTGCTAGCGCAGAAATCATACTTGGTGGCCTCAAAACTAGTTAGAGACTGCGTGAACCGTCTAAGCGCTCCGAGGTATAACAACAGCTCGTTTTGAGATGGGTTCCACGTCATGCGGATATCATAGGCAATGAACTTGTCGACAATGTTTCAAAGAGCACATAATTTGGACCCGAGCCATATTGTGGAATTTAAAATAGCTTGGCCCGATTGTTCCTTGAAACTCTTTATCACAATAAATCACTAAAGATCTGGTTTGATACACCAGGCTTAAATCATTCTAAAACCTTAATCCGGGCTTATAATCGTAAATTCGCTTCAGAAGCCCTGGGTATAAGTAAGAATAATCTGCGTTTTCTGGCAAGAGCCCTGACTGAACACAGTTATCTAAAAAATCGACATGTACATTCTGGGTCTAAGCAACTCCAGGATGTACCAATTCTGATCCTTAAGGGAAGCAACAGCTCTACACATCCTAACTGATTGTGGACCCTTAATGCGCAAAAGTAACACTCACCTGGGAAATTATGTACTTAGCCCAGAAGAAGTGACATTTCTCACAGCTGAGCAACCCCTTCATGTGAGACATAGGACTTAGGAGTGAACTTTTGCCATGGCAAAGATCAGTGATACTGGGTTTTCAAGACCAGCATAGCTGCTCGCACAATTTAATTTTTTTTTAAATCTGATATTCCTTAGATCAAGCAAAGGAGTTAAATGAATAAACTTTTAATTAAAAGTAAAATTGTCACTCCTTGACTTCATAGACTTCAAAAATAATAGGTTTCATATTTTTTGGAAGCCGGGACTTTACTCATAATTATTCGATATACCATTTCATAACAAAGACTTCAGTAGTTGTTATGGAAAAATTATTTTATTTTTCTAGTTTTGATGTTGGTTTTACTTTTTATTTAAAGTTTATTTTATCGTAAAAGATAAATTCTTTTACCGGATGCAAACCCTTATACATAGAAAAAAAATGTGATTAATATTTTTTATTTATTTTGTTCACAGAAAAATGCAAATATTCCTTTAAATTGCAGCCTGATATAAAGTATCAGACGATAGAAGGCTTCGGCACGGCGGCCACTGAGACCGCTGGATATAATCTTAAAAGCTTGCCGTGTTCCGCGCAGGATAAGTTGATTAAGTAATTATAATTTCTTGTTATATTTTTTTAATAAACCGAAGTAAGAAACGAATATACAGTCCACCCGATAATAAAACGCGACTGCAGTCAGTGGACGTCAATAATAATACTTAAAAGAAACTGTTCAATAGGTTTTCTACTATAATACACAGGAAGTTAAAAAAGAAGACAACAAATCCTTTATTGAAATTATTGAAACCATACAGATTCCATCGGTCTCAATGATAATTATGATAAAAGATGGCAAAATTGCCAAAAAAATTACCAGATTATAAGAACCGAGCAACATCGAATCTTTTTTGAAGAACGAAGTCATCATAATATAAAGGAGCAGCAACTATGAAAAAGAGTCACTTTTTTCTGATTAGCGGTAGATTAGTTGTCTACTAATGGTCGGTCTTGTTCTATGATTACCGGTAAAATCCATTTCGTCTTTACAAAGTAACTCCTCAAGTAAGGTAGCTACGATTATGAAAGATCAACAGTAAGTCAAGCCAATAAATCAATTTTTTGACTTGGAAGTTCGCACGAAGTAGTACTTAATCAATTTATACAATGCAGATCAAACAGCTGAAGCTGCAACGGGTTACGAAATTTTACCCGATGCTTCGCTAGTTAGCCTTATCTGATCATAAAAAATAATTCAATAATGTGAGGGATTTGACCTTGAAAACAGTGAGTGATCGGACTCAATGTATTCATCGTTTTAGCTCTAATTTAGAAAGCGTTGTGATGTGAATGCTTCAATAGACGATTTGCGAATTGTGCGTAGTATAAATGAAGCTAAAAGTTAAAGATTGTAAATAGTTAAAGATTGGCAACGAGTACACAGACCAACTGATGGTAATTGGACAGCCCCATTTACTCAATTTTCTGCATTCACACCTCGTTTTATATCCTTATCATATCTACCATCTTACCATCTCTGCTAAATACACATCCCAAATGCACAAACTCAAATCTACTTGCTCGACCAATTCCACTTCTATTCTTGTTTCACATATCCTTTTACTTTCTTCTCTTTGAAAAACTTGTGTTCACTCTCAATCCCCCTTTTTTAATGACCTGTTCAATAATGTAGCCATCATTTGCAACTTATTAAATTCTTAATCCGCATTATTCCAATTTATAACTTTCTAAACAACTGTCCATAAATTTATTGAACAGCCACGGGGAAGCCATACGGCCCTATCTAACACCTTTATGAGATTCTTAGCACCACTGCCCCATTAAAGGGTCGCTGGGAACTCTGGGCTATTCCTTTTTTTCGTTGCCTCATGGTGCGAAACTAGAAGGTGGTATTTTTACACCGCTACCACACAGCGAGGAGCCAAGTTTGTCCTTTCGGCTTTGTCGCTCTTTTCGCACGACCTCGAGGATTAGTGTAGGGTAGGGATAAACTTAGGGTTAGGTGGTCGAAATCTACGTACGCGAGCGACTCATCCCCCAACTTAACAATAATGTTGATAAATTAATTTTATATAAGTAATTTTAGAAATCGCTCAGTAGCGATCCACTCATTCCCAGAGGATATTATCAGCTATGTATTGACGATTCGATAACCCAGTGGTTAAACGATACTATAGAGTTATGGTATTCTTTTAGATCCTACTTTAGTGACAAGGGCTTGGAGTATAACATGCTTCGGGTTCCTATCGGTGGGAGTGACTTCTCCCTGAGTGAATTCGCTTACAACGAGTTGCCGATTGATGACTATTATTTGACAAACTACACACTGTCTATCGAAGATTACGACTATAAGGTAATTATGTTCACTTTTCAAACCACTTAAAATCTTTTTAAACACCAAGACGTCTGGGTATTGGATATTACATAACAAGCTCATTCAAAACAGATATGTGCCTTATTAGATGGATTTGTATATTTGGAAATTCATTATTTTCCTAAATTTTTTTCATTTTTCCTCATCAGCCCATAAAAGTATGCTGATGGACATGAAATTTTGTTATATGAAATAATTATTTCTTCCTTTCAATCATATTCCCAGATACCGATAATAAAAAGGATAATGGACATATCCAAGTTACCTGTAGATGTCATAGTCTCTACATGGACACCTCCTAAGTGGATGAAGTATTATACGGACGAAAATCCCACGTGTGGTTACCTTAAGAATGAGTTTTACCAGACGTATGCCGACTATCACTTGAAGTAAGGACTGTTATTATTAATCTTCATCACCAGCTTTATTAAAATCTTTCCTGCAATCAGTTATTGATAAACGAGGAGTGTAGGGCATCGCAGAAATCACATAACTTTCCTCCTTCTCCCTTCCACGATCGGATAACCAGATGCTCGGCCTGTCTTTTCACTTTTGCTGTCATACCGCGCAAACCAGAGATTTGTTTTGTCACACGTAATGCGTACAGAAATGAATTAAAATAATTTGCCAGAATGTGTTTTTCCATCTCATATCAATGTAATAACAAGGCAGGAGGAGTAAATAAGCTTTATTAAGCTATTGCGCTTAGCCATCTTTAGCTGCACCAACATTTAAAATCTTTTCAGAAAGTAAAAATAGACAAGCACTGGCTTTTAACGGTTATAAAAGAACTTAAATTATTAATAATTATACACTTGTAACATTTTCATCTGTGATTTTAGCGATAGTTACATGTTTTATTTCAGCTCCACCTAGGATTTACAAAATTCGCTTGGCAAGTAGACTAGCTTTTTAATAACCACAGACCTAGAATTTAACGCTAAGCAACATCCACCCTATAGATTCTTCTTCTCGTTCATTGTCTAGTTCATTTATTTACGTTACTGTTACAGCCTATCAAAAGGCCACTGCTGAACATAGGCCTCCCTTATAGCTTGCTTCATTTGCCGTAGTTGCCACGCTTCACAGGTGGATTACCAACCGCAATTTTAAAGATGTTATTAGAAAGTTGTTGCTGCCCGTCTCACAGGACGATATGAAGTGGTGTTTTTTATTACACCGCCAATACACGGTGAAACGGCGAGTTCATTTATTTCATTTGGATGTTATTACATAATACGATGTTTACTACAATTAAGGGTAACAGACGTGCTCACAGTCCACTTGATGGTAACTGGCTCACATACACCTACAGCTATACCTACAACCACATCTTTGATTAAGAATTAAAATTCAAACGCGTTGTAATCCCTAAGGTCTAATTTGGAATGGATACCAGTTTCCAGTTAAGAAGGTTACCAATAAAAGTTCTCTGGTTCTACTCGCTCATCATACGACAAACAGAAGAATGTTTTTTGTTGAACCGATCCATTCGTGCTCCAGTCATAGTTCAGCTGTAGCGTGGCTCTGCCAAACAAAGAATTAGTCTAGTATAGTAGAATGTGTATCTATTAGTTTATGGAGCTGAGTTTTAACGATTGTATAGATTTTTAGAAAAATACGCCATGGAAGGTATTCCAGTTTGGGGAATCACAACGACTAATGAGCCGACAATTGCCTTTACTGATATACCAGCCAAGGTCTGCATTGGATTTACTCCAAAACAAATGGTAAGAAAACTTTTTCCAGCACATCATTCACTATTTGTCACATTTCACTTTCCTACTTTTTATATCTACAAAAAATTAGGCCTCCCTCATAGATTTCCTCATAATTACATATTTGCCTAGATTAGCAGATGAGTTGGTAACAACAGTTTTTATCATTTGAGTTGTTATCAGGAGGACGCTGCTGGTCACCTCCATGTTTGTTTCCCTCTGTCGCCACTTGCGATACACACGTGACGATGTGGGGTAGTGTTTATTCTTACTCTGCTACTGCACGGTTTATAGTAATTTTTCGGCTTCATCACCATTCATCATTATACCCCTTCAAAAGTCCACTGCTAATCTTACCAGGTCGTCACTCCATCTAGTGGGGGGACGCCCAACACTTCGTCCGCCGGTACGAGACCGCCACTCGAGAACTTTTCTTCCCCTTCGGTTGTCGGTTCTTCGAGCTATATAGGCGGCCCATTGCCACTTCAGCTTACCAATCCTTTGGGCTATGTCGGTTACTCTGGTTCTACTGCGGATATCCTCATTTCTAAGTTTATCACGCAGGGAAATCCCGAGTATAACCCTCTCCATAGCTTACTGAGCGACATTGAGCTTCCTCATACGGCTAGCAGTGAAGGACCACGTCTAAGATCTATAGGTCATCACTGGCAACATGCACTGGTTTTACAATCTAGTTTAGAGGTTTTGAGTTATGCATCCGAAACATGATGCATTCCTCTAAAACCCATTATACATTGTTAATGGGTGACTTAAACGCAAAACTAGGCACAAGACAGAACAGTGAGCTGAAAGTAGGAAAATTCGGAATAGGGCAACGGAACCGAAGGGGCCAGCAGCTGGTCGACTTTATGGAAAAAGAGGGACTCTTTATAGTGAATTCTTTCCTTCATAAGCGGTCCCACAGAAAGTGGACCTGGTCAAGCCCCGACGCTTCGACAAAAAATGAGATTGACTTCATTATGACGACCAGACAATAATTGTTCAGTGATGTATCAGTGATGGCGAGGGTGAAAACTGGCAGCAATCGCCGAATGGTGAGGGGCACACTGAACCTAAACGTTAAGTTAGAGAGGTTACGTCTTATGAAGTCAACGCTTCGCCCCCCTCGTGCTTTTATACGAAGCCCCGAAAACTTTCAGCTCGAGTTACAAAATCGTTTCCAGTGCCTAGAAAATTACAATGAAGAGGACGATATCAATGACAAGCTTGTGGAAACTGTCCATGCAGTAGAAGATAAGTTCGGCAAGATCCGTGACAGAAGAACACAAAAACGCTACAGCGGAGCTGGTGGACACCCGGTACTTGAAGTTTAGTAATTCAGAAGCTCTGTATTTCCTTCCTCCGTAGTGGCACTACTCCAAAGGCGTGGGGCAGAAGTGCGGTAGTCGTGTTCTTCAAGACTAGAAGGCCACTCTCCCTTAAAAACTACAGACCGATTTCCCTTCTGAGCTGCGTTATCATTCTGTTTTTGAGAGTCAATACGAATCATCTCGCACGCAGACTTGATGACTTCCAGCTTTCCGAACTAGTCACTTTCCGAACTAGTCACTTTCCGGAAAGATTTTAGCACCTTAGACCACATACATATCCTTCGGAATTTTGTACAGAAGAGCGAATAGTTCAATCTGCTACTTTGTCTTGTGTATGTGAACTATGATAAAGCCTTTGATTTCGTTGAAATATGGGCGGCAACGCAGTCCCTTCAGCCGTATCAAGTGGACTGTCGGTATATCGAAATGCTGAATTGTTTATACAGTGGGGCTAAAATGGCTATTCAAGTACAGAACTAGAGTACGAAACTTATCCAAATGCTGGGAGGTGTAAAACAGGGTGACGTTATATCCCCTCAACTCTTCACCGCTGCATTGGAAGACGTTTTCAAGGTACTGGACTGGAAAGGATACGGTATTAACGTCAATAGAGAGTACATCACTCAACTTCGATTTTCCGACGATATAGTAATAATAATAATAATTCTTTATTTCAGATATCAAAGATCCATAAGTTGTTAGTATGACTTATATTATGTTAGTAATTGAGAACATTAAATAAATTAAATTAAATTAAATCAAAACTAAAATCAAATCTTTACCCAAAATTAAATTACAATAAAATCAAAAACAAAAATTAAAATAATAATCAAATAATAGTAATGTCAAAATTAAATTAAATTAAATACAATCAAACAAAAAATCAAATAAAAATCAATCGAAATCAAATAATGTCTTAATTAAATTAGATTAAATACAATCAAAATAAAATAAAATATCAAAATAAAATCAAATGAGGTCAATTTGGATTTAATTTAAATAACTGTGTTTTTAAATAACCCTCCTCACTAAGCAGGCCCAAAGCGGAGAAGTATACCTATCTGCCAGGGTTTGCAGAATGCTATTGGGACTGCCTCGTGCTCTAAATATCAGCGATGTGGTTTTTTTGCGAATAATGGCTGTAAAGTCGTCAACTTGGTATTCTGCAAACATCGCTGATGCACTACAGAAACGAAGCAATCCCAACAACATTCTGAACACATTATTATATTGGACTCGTAGGGTGTCCAGCGACTTCTTGGTTTAGCTGCTCCACAGATTTCCCGTGTACATGTTTTGGCAATACGCTTTAAAAAGGGTCACCTTTACGTCATCGCTACAACGATCGAATCTGCGAGCCAACATATTTCCTCTAACTGAGAGAGCCCTACGTTCCCTTTCTATATCAGCGTAGTCTTTAAGGTCGTCAGTAATTATATGTCCCAGATATTTAAATTTTGATACACGTTGTATGTTCACGCCGTTGAGGGTAATGTTATTGACTTTATCGGGACATTTACCAGCGGCCTTAAACACCATGCATTGTCTTTTTTACATTGTATATGAGCCCGTGCTCAGTAGCACATTTCTCACAAACCCTTAGCATCTCGTTAAGACCACCCGCAGTTGGACAGAGCAGTACACTGTCATCAGCGTAATTTATATTGTTGGTGCTTACTCCATCAATACGGCATCCGACACGCATACTGCTCAACCTGACAATGAGATCATTAATATATATGTTGAAGAGTGTGGGAGACGTCAAGCCTCCCTGTCTTACGCCACTCTCCAACACATATTCTTCTGAGAGAGAGTCGGCCCATTTTACACAATTTGTCTGGTTGGCATACCAGACCTTAAATATATTTAGCAATTCAACCGGTAGTCATCTGTCCTCCAGCTTTGCCCACAATATGTTATAAGACATTAAGGCTGAGATCTATAGATCGTACTTTGACTTTGCTCAGACTTAGCTTACGAAAAACTTAGCTGAGTATATGCTCAGCATAATCTTTGACTCTGAATTTATAGTTGTATCGGGCTAAGATTAATCTAAGCTTATTCTAAGGCCCAGACAGTCCATATATTAATGGATGATTCATTCCATGCATTATGTTTTTGACTTTACTGTATAAAATTAAAAAATATATATTTATTTAAAATTTCGAAAACAGTCCAAATTGTATTTCATAAATAAGTTATTATTACATGAAATAGAAAACGGGCGTATGAAATCGGGAACGGATGAGATGAGTGCAAAATCAGAAAAAAAAAGAAGAAAAAGGAGATTTTAAGAAATTCGAAATAAGATTGAAATTACGTAAATAGAAAATAGATTAATGATATTTAAAACTAGAAGACAGCCTAAGACTACCTATTTATTGTTATAATTAATTACAATAACATTAAAACAACAATTTAAAATTAATACGGTAGTTTTGAATAATATCCTGAGCTTTAAGTAAGTCGTCGATATCGTTGACTTAGGCTTTGCTAAGCGCGCACTCAGCACTACTTCGAAGTTAGCTCTATATATACTGACATTGTCTTAGCCCGAAAGTAAAGTCTGAACAAAATCCAAGTACGGTCTATAGATTTCAGCCTAAGTCAAATGGGGTTGACAGGTCTAGGAAACAGCCATACACCTGTGTCCCGCGATTAGTATAGTATTGGACAGTGTGCTTTAAACTTACAATTGCACTCTCAGTAGATAGCCCAGACCGAAACCCAAATTGTGCGTCATGTAGCTTAGCTATTTTTTCCAGGTAAGAATTAAGCACACCGTCCAGCACCTTAGCAATCGTCATTGCCAATGAAATTGGACGATAATTTTTCATGTCCGAGACGTCAACAGTTTTGTTCTTCACAATGGACACCACATTTGTTTTTAACATTTCTTGCGGTAAATAGGAATGTCTGATACACATTGTGAAATACAGCGCCAAAACCCTCGTAAGGTGAACACCAGCATGCTTAAGATGTTCAACGCTAATGCCATCCTGTCCAGGAGACTTGCCACCAGTCATATTTTTAAGTACATTTCGCACTTGTTCAGCTGTAACATGCACTAGTTTATTTTCTCCCTGACACAAAGGCTTGCTAAAAGTAGAATCCGAGGGGCCCAGTGGTGAGTTGACTTTAAAATGAGCCCTAAACATCTCTGCAATATGAGCAGGCTCATTCTCCCCCTCCACACTTGTTGGCAAACCAGACTTAACATCAAGCTTTTTTGTTGCCTTCCAGAAACGATTAAAATTTTTAGCAGATCTATGTTTGGCCAAAACGTCCATTTTAAGTTGGTCTTGATTTTGTTGGCACCATTTTAGCGACTTTTGAATATTTTACGCGATTCGTACATCTGCTCATAAATTCTACCAGACTTAGGCCAATTATTCAGCAACCAAACTTGATAGTTAAGCCTGGCCTGCTTGTGAGCATCATAAACATGCTTATTCCACCCACATAAATGCCTGTTATTGCTCTTCCTTCCTCCACGAGTCTTACTAGACTTACTTGCCGCGTCGCTTAGGGCGTGTACAATATTTTGATACAAGCGATCTAGTACTTTTTTGTGCTCACTCAAGCTACACATTCCGCGGCTGCACTCCGTAAACTCAGAAGGAAAATCAATTTCACGCATACTATTATTACATAGGTCATGGTACTTAGTTATCTGTGCCTCGCCTCGCTCTCCCCATCTTACCGTGCTTCGTTGCAGGCTAGGTGATGCCAACTTGGGTCTTACACAGCTTAAATCGCACTTTACAATTAGTGGTAAGTGATCCGACACAAACACGTCTTCCATTACTTCCACTTCCACTACAGTCTGTCACACAACAATGGTCTAACCACCTACGACATCCGTACGCAGCGCTTACGTATGTATAAGTGTTACTTTGCTCACCTAGTTTTTCAACATCGGCGCAGACCCAGCTCTGCTCCGAGCAGAAGGCTATGAGTTCATTATAGAACAGTTCGTGGGGATGCGCGTTAAAATTTCCCAGTATAAATACACTCTCAACATTTTTATTATCAATTATAGCGTTTATTTCGCCCAGCACATCGGTAAATATGGGTAGATTAGTTAGTGAGGTAGTTGTTATGTATACGGAAAAATCCAGAATCGCTCGCCGCCCAATACTGGCTTTAATAGCTACAATGCGATCATTCGTGCACTTTATTATAGACACGCTGTCAAAACTTCCCTTTCCCCAAAGTATCGCTACCCCCCCCCCCCCCCATACGGTCTTCCGATCAGAGGGCCGGTAGACGTGTCCACCGCCGACTTTCCTGTATATTCAAAATCATTTGAAATAGTTCCCAGTATCTGTATATCGTGGGAGAGCAGACAAGTCTCCTGCAGCGCAACCACATCTGATTTTTTACATATACTCTGTAGGTCATTTAAAGATCTAGAAACAAAATAACAATTAAAACTAACAAAATTCAAAGTTGGATTTAGCATTAAATTCATGTAGATACAATATTTTAACTTTAACTATTTAACTATGAAATATTTACATTATTTACTTTCGTTTTATACACAAGACGAACAAAACGTCTGAAAGTTATACCATTTGGCCACAAATTATCATTTCAAAATGTATCTATTTTAAATTTCGAGACATACAGTTTATAGGAGTTATATAATTTTGTTTTTCTCATATTTATCTTTTTTAATGATACAGATTCATTAGTTTTTTCTCTTATATAGTTAATGATATCCTCCTCACTTGTATCTTTACTAACCATCGATATTAAAATTGGTATCTTTATATCTGCAGCTTTAAATTTACCATTCCGGGCAGTGGGAGCACATCCTTTCTACCCTATTAACTTATATCGTTTATCAAATTTATTTCTTACAACTTGCCATTCTGAGTCCCCTAGCAAATGCTAGGTCATGTTTTTCACCACTATTAACACTGACACCAATAATGCCGCTTCCAAAGTCACGCGTCGGTCTCGGTCGATTTCCATTAGTAGGGCCTCCGCTTGTCTCCGACACGCACATATTCTCAGTCCGTATAGCTAACCGGCCACCGACCGTAGCACGCAATGGGGATTCCGCGTGTGGCGATATTAACAATCACCGCGCCGTCTCGTTTCCTCCTGCACTACCACCTCCTGCCGATATTGTCCGACAACCGCTCCTTTTCATATCGGAAGTACCCTTTTTGCACCTATGCTATTGGTGTTATTGCTACTCGGACTCGGTGTGTTCAAAACCGCAGTGCTGGCCTCGGCGAGAGATGTCAACTCTCGTTCCATCTCGTTTACACTTTTACTTTTACTAACGTCGTTTGCCGAACTTGACTGACCCTTTCGCCTCGGATGCACTCGGCGCACACGCAATAGCCAAGCTACTTGCACCTATAACAGCTCCTTAAGCCAGACTTTGTATGTTTGGAACTGCAGTACTGGCCTCCACGTGTTGCAATGATTCCATCGCTTCATCTTGTTTGCTAGCGAGTGAGACAGAATTATCCATGACTATTCCTTTTGAACAATTATTATGACTCATAGAAGGTCGATTGTTTACCTCGATAAGCTGATTTCTGTGATTTTATCGAAGTATATTCAGGCACATAAGGCAGTCCGGTCGGTCCACTGTCGTAATCGAAACTACTTTGAAAGCACGCGCCTCTCCTTTTATTTACTTTAAAATGGGTTTCGTCAACTAACGACGCATGCCTCACATGAGACACCTCCTGCTTAAGAAGGCTAAACTCCTCGGCATTAACAGCATTTTCTACCAACACGTTTAATCTGTTTTTAAGCAACAACAAGTCCTTAATAAATCGGGTGACATCCACATGATCGTAAGTCACCGGGGGTATCAAATCTAGATTCTGCGCACAGAAAATCGGAAATTTTGTTGGGTCAGCACTCTTCATTAACCCAATAATATCGTCCAGGTCCCGTGATATTCGTTTTTTCCCGTGCTTTTTCCTCATAGGCATTTTCTTAGCATTTGCTACTGACTCAAAAAGAAGGGTTTAGCCTTTACAATGTCGTCCTTTGAGAATATTGTGGTACACAGCTGGTGAATACTCTCCTCATCCGTGTAGTCAATTACATGCCTAACAAAAGTCAGCAGCTCATTAATTACAATATTGCAATTCGAGCACTTCACAATATCTGCACTCGCCATTTTGGACCTCTTTTTTAAAAGGGGTCGGATCGCACCGCGCACACAGTCGAGAGCTTGCGTTCTACCGCGCGCGTGGATGATTACTGTATGATATAGTCCTTATGGCAGAATCGCTGGAGGACCTAAGCACTATGCTCAGTGACCTCAATATTTTCTCCAAACCGATAGGTCTTAAGATGAATATCTTAAAACATCAACGAAAATCATGTCTTACATCCATGTCACACCTATGCGGGTAGTTGTTGGGAGCTCTAAGCTCGAAGTTGTTGACGAATATGTTTGCCTGACACAAATAGACCGACTAGGTAAGTTTTACTTCGACCGAGAGGTCAGTCGATGGATTCAACTCGGCTGGTCAGCGTTCAGGAGATTACGAAACATCTTTTCATCAGGCATACTTTATACTATAATATATATTTCTCTATATATAAACATCAATTGCTGTCAGTTAGTACCGCAAAAACTCGAAAATTGCTCGACCGATTTTGATGAATTTATTTGCGTGAATTTGAGTGGGTCTCTATTTGGTTTACACTCAGTTGGACCCTGTAGGTGGCACTGTTGTCTGTCTATTGGTGAGGCAATATATGGGGGAGATCTATGTGTGGTGGCCTAGAGGACTTTTATAGGCTGTAATGGAATGGATTAAATATGAGAAGTCATTAAATTGGTTATTTTTACTGATAGTGAAATCAAAAATTCACGTAGCGGTCTTGATAATAAATTTACATTTTTTATAGGTTACAACTTGTAAGTAAGGTATCAATTTATTTCAGGGTAAATTTATAGCAGAAAATTTTGGGCCGACAATTCGCAATTCACCGTTTAAGGATATCAAGATCCTTGCGCTGGATGATCAGCGGTATTCGATCTCCAGAGATTTCTATGACGTAAGAAATAATATATTTAGTTAATCTTCATAACTTAACTTAAAGAGAACATATAGTTATAATTTTAGTAGTATATAATTGTGTGTGCGTAACAGAGTAGGTACTTTGTATAATATCCAAGTATGCTTTGAAGGCGGTATGTTTCTAAGCATTTCCTGATTTAGAGCGATAGCTAATACTTTATCATATGCCAATATAACAATAAATATGAATAAAAACAATAGGAGTAAGGAGACATGTGGTATGTTGGGCGGTCTTATCGCTTAAACAAATTATTTCAGTCAACCTTAGGATGGATAGTATTGCTAGAAAACAAAAAACATGCGTGAGCGTCGTTGAACACTCGGTTGGAACTAAGTTGCTTTCGTAGTATATTATTAGAGATAAACGTATTGTATTATTGATTAACTAATACAAATAAATTAATTACTAGCGTCTATTAAAATGAAGAGTGTTATTTAAAATTAAATAGTATGTCTTTTATGGCAAGATAAGAAAAAGTGCGAGGGAGATGGATATTATTCCATTTCGCTTCTTTATAGCCGCCAAGGCCGTCTACACTACGTTAGAAGGGGTCGTGACAGGAAAATCTTACACTTTTTCTCGCCTAGCCCCACCCGCCAAATTCGTACCATCCGATAAGGAACTTACTTCCAATAATAACACGCGTTTTTATCTATACATATAGAATACTTTGTGCTGAATGACTTACTGACGGATCAACGCACAGCCTAAACCGCTGATTGTAGAGACCTGAAACTTGAAGGGTGTGTTCTCTGAATGACGTAGACATCCTATAAGAAACGTTTTTCCGAAATTCAACTTCAAATATTGTATAAACATTCTTTAATAGAATTGATGGAAGACGTGTTTTGTATTTTATTGAAACTCATCGCCTAACGGGGTTTAAAAGGGGTAGAAAGTTGTTCTAGGGGTGATTTGCATCGAAGTTGATATCAATACTTCTTAGTGCTTATGATTTAAATTACATTTTATTTTGACACACGTTTGAAAACTCAAAACGATGAACTCGCATAAAAACTCACTCTTTAAAATTGGAATGTCAAATTTGAAAGAATATTTAACCTCTCAGTTGTTGTTTTTATTATTCGCTTGAGAGAGCAGGCAACGGAACTATGCCATACAGCCTTGTCTTTATGTATAATTATCCTTCATAGTACACTGCTTCACAATATGTTGATGCGTCACATTGTACAGCCCTTGGGAGATTTTGACGGCAACATGATCCATCAGGCAGCTGACAGTAGGCGATGGTATCTAAAGGCGCCTATGCAAACAAACAGCTTATCTTGAGAATCCATCACCATCAGAGCACTTGTTTCACCGTTTCCACTAATAGTTCACATGCGTAGACAGTTAATACATAAAATCGCACCACTTTTACATTTCAAAATCCACTTCAAACTATTGTTTAAACTATATATACAGGAGCAACAAACCGCCGCCGGTCAAGTTTTTTTTTTAATAGGAAAGGGTGACATACGAGCACACAGTCCACCTGATGGTAAGTGGTTACTGTGACCCACACACATCTACATCAATCCTCAATAAAGACTCAAGATGCAGATGCGTTGTCGCCCGTGAGGACTAAGATGGAATGCCTCTTTGCCAGTAAAAAGGGTCTCCGGTTTTCTACACTCACCATACGAAACACACCAGCGTTAAGCTGCTATTTTACGCTGGTTTTCTGTGAGAGCGTGGTCCTTCCCCGGTCGAGCCGACCCATTCGTGCTACAACTATACTACTAATATAGCTGCAGCATGGCTCTACCACGTAAAAGTTCCCGCCAAAACTCACCTTAACCTCTCAGAGGACATACTTAGTCAGCACTATGGTCATGCCAAAGAGTATAGTAGGTCAGGCCAAAGACAAGTTTTTTTAAAGATGGTAAATATAACTTAGAGTCATTACTACTACTGTCAATACTACTAAAAAAATATCTACAATAAAAATATCGAATTATTTGTATGAAGGTCAAGTGAGCGCTAGAGTAACAACGATTACAAGACGATTTGTCGATAAATGAAATTTTTTGAGAAATTATCAATTACTGTGTAGTGGCGGTTTATGAATATTCATATCGTTCCGTGGGGTTCGTAAGAGGCGACTGATCCATTGTTCAGTTCCACGGTACACGTAGCTTATTACACAGTAACAAGGTACGTGTACCGTGGAACAGAACGTGGCAACTATGACAAGTATACCCTCTATGAGGAATATAGTAGAGGCCTATGTTCAGTGGGGGTTTTTATAGGATGTAACGGCGTTTGTTGTAATAGTGATAAGAAAAAAATGTGGGAGGAAAAAAAGGCGAAATTTTTTTCTAAATTAAATCTCGGTGGAACGGATACTTCGTGCGATATTTAGGGCAGCGTTGCTAAGGTAGAGATATCTAATATCAGCAACTGCAAACCATGAAATAAGAACTAGCTACTAAACAACCGAGATTGGTCAATCGCTCTAGGCTACTGCTGTTTCACGACAACACAAGACCACACACTGCACAACAAACAACCACTAAGTTAGATGAGCAACAATTGGAATGTCTGCGACATCCACCGTACTCCGCGGACCTTGTTCCAACAGATTACCATTTTTCCGGAATTTGGACAACTTCTTACAAGGGAAAAAATTCAACTCCGATGCGGCAGTCCAAACCGCCTTCAAAGAGTTTATTGATTCTCGCCCCCCATGATTCTTTTAGTAAAGGGATCAATAAACTACCTATAAGATGGCAAAAATGCATAGATAACAACGGCGCATACTTTGATTAATTAAATATATTTTACAAAAAAAAAACTTGATTCAAAATTGATTGATTGAATTTCTAACGTGGTAGAACCATGCTGCAGCTATATTAGTAGTATAGTTGTAGCACGAATGGGTCGGCTCGACCGTAGAAGGACCACGCTCTCACAGCATACCAGCGTGAAATAGCAGCTTAACACTGATGTGTTTCCCTTTCGCTTTTTACTGGAAAAGAGGCATTACATCTTAGTCCTCACGGGTGACAACGCATCTGCATTTTGACTATGGGTCACAGCAACCACTTACCATCAGGTGGACTGTATGTTTGTTTATCACTCTATCCTATAAAAAAAATTAATATTCCTCCCGTACAAAACGCCAATTTCATATGTAACCTAATATATTAAAACAAAAAGACAACTATATTATGATACACAACTAATTCGATTTAATCTATCAAGTCTTGGACGTCTACATGAGACAATTCAAGGTCACCTTTGTAGAACGCTACAAAGAGTATGGTAATATTTAGAAAGGACCCCTCAGAACCAAAGAGTATATGATCACTACGTTTAGTCAGAACCATAGTTAAGAGTGCCCAGAACAATTATTTTATAAATGTTATTTATATGAATTTATAAATTGAATAAAACTACACACTACTACAAACAGAACACAACGCAACTTACCAAACATCACATTGGATCATACTGAATAAACTTCACACGCCTCGCTGAATGGCGTATTCTGACCTGCACGCGACTGCGCACTCGTGCCGGTCATGAAATAAGTGAGCGAGAGAGCTATAGACACGGGCGGGTGGAATGCAACCGCACGTAGCGCGAATTTCAAAAAATTACTCACAGTAGTGTGGAAATAATTGCATAAAACCTTTATGAATTTATCGGTATTTTTAAGAATTTTTTCGATAATTTTCGGTGAAAAAAAATTAACTGATTACCGATCAATTATCGGTTATCGATTATCGGTTTGCATGCGCTAGATGCCATCCATCATCCGGTCAATTTCCTGAATACACTGATGCCTCCCGGTCTCCTAACTCACATGTTAAAACTGGGAGTTGGCGCGGCAATTATGTTGCTGCGCAATATAAATCCACAAAAATTATGCAATGGTACCAGATTGCAAGTGAAAATATTGCATCGCAATGAAAACGAGGCTACTATACTGACAGGTTGTTCTCGAGAGGACTCTGTATTTATTCCTAGGATTCCCCTAAAACCATCAAATTACCCCTTTGAATTCAAGGGAGTGCAGTTTCATATCAAAGTCTGCTTCGCCATATCCATAAAAAAAACTCTTTAAGGTAGCGGTAGTGTAGCTTCTCCCACGGTCAGTTGTACGAGTATGTGGCATGCTCCAGAGGAAGCGCACAGACCAGCCTGGTGATTCTAGCAGCCGAAGGAAAACCAAAAATATTGTTTAACAAGAAATACTGCAGTAGGTGTAGTATTTGGATTTCGTTATAAAAAATATAATACACCCGTGTCACTTTCACCAGTTCAAAGGCCGATCCAAAGAAAATTATTTTTATGTTTTGTTAAATGATTGTTATATTTTTAAGTATTCAAACATTTTAACATAAAAATGTATATGTTGTAACAAAATTTATAACGTAAAAAACAAATTAAAATCCTATTAGAACCATTTCCTACTACGTGGACGAAGTCACGGGCAAAAGCTAGTTGACAATAAAAATTTATTTACATTCTAAACTAAGATACCTAAATGACGTATTAAACGTAGGTATTTATTTATTTTAGTGATGAAACGATACGGCTATTACGATACCGATACGAATGACGAATACATCGTTATTTGTATTACCGTTACTAATAACGAATGCTCTTACTTTTTTATTGCTTTTATTTTTATGTTTATTAAACTTTTATTTTAATTTAAGTACAAACAAGAGGTTTTTTTAAAGATATTTTTATCAATTTAATGTAATGTTCATAGATTATCGAAGCGAGATTGAATGATATCCATTTCCCTCGCAATTTTTCTTATCTTGCCATGAAAGAAATACTATTTTATTTTAAATTACGCTTCATGTTATTAGACGCTAGTAATTCATTTATTTGTATTTGTTAATCAATAATATATATAAAAACTAATCTAGCAATACTACAAATTGCTCAAAATAAATTATTGAAAGTTTTGTTTCATTTTGATTATTTTACACCGACAGATAAGCTTTACAGACAAATTAAAGTAATGAACATATCGCAAACATACAAGTACCAAAATTGTATATTAGTACGAAAAATTTTAAATAAAGATATATACACAAACACAACTTTTTCAAAGAGAATACAACTACACAAAATGAAACTTAAGCGAAGCAACGTTATTGAATTATTAACGGTAAAAAATGCATAATGTATGAAGATTCACAAATATATAACAAATTACCTAAAGATATTAGAGACTCAAAATCAATGCACACATTTAAAAGACTATTTAAGTATCATCTATCGAAAGACTAAACAAAGACCTATCTAAATAAATAAATACTCTCATGTTCAATAACTAACATAAATAAATACATATCTAGATATTTCCTTCTTACACTCTAAAAATACCAATTATTTAAGTTATTCAGAAATAATAAATTATATAAATATTACAAATTTTACTAAATATATAAATTATTATAACCGACACTTAATCAGATTTTTTTTCTCTCTAAACTATTGAATCTAATTAACTGTATCACTCTACTGTGCGAGTCACATCTAGTAATGCTTATGTATGTAATCGGCACAAAGAAGTCGGCGATCGAATTTGCACAAAACGAGCCATCGCTGTCGCTAGAAACTTTTTACAACCACCTACATTTTGTATTTTTCGGTAGTTTAAATTATAGTTTAAATTATAATTTGCATTGTTACATTGTACGAATAGCCCAAACCAAATTTATATTAAGCTATAGATATATAAGTCTCAAAAAGTGAATGTGAACGTTTATCAATAATAATATACTACGAAAGGAACTTCGTTCCAACCGAGTGTTCCACGACACTCATGCATGTTTTTATTTATATAGATTAAACTTTTAAAAAATTATAACCGATTTCATAAAACTAAAAAAATTATATAATTTCCTAAATACTTTCTTCTGCTATAGACTTAGAAATGTCACAAGGTCTTACAACTATACAGCACATTAAAACAACCCCTATTTGTGCACACTCGGGGGTGGAATATTTTCTTCAAATCAATTCCTTATAGGATTTATAATATGATTAAAAAGGAATCATTAAAATTGATCCCAATAGACCACGATATCGCGTGACATATATATACAAAAAAGAACATACATATAACATAACATACTAAGGAACAACTACTGAAGGAATACGCATAACTTTTACTTTATATTTCAAAGTAACAAGGAAAACTTTTAAGCGTTTTCGTTCTACCTTCTAGGTAGTAGGCTGCTTTTCTACCTATAGATTCAGTCTAGATTGACACCACCCTATTACCTAGTTCTGCCGTCAAGCAGCAGAGTATGTGCTGCTGTGTTTGCAGGGTAAGAGAGCTGGTATAATAAGTCATTTCATCACAGTCATCCGCGGTGAGAACGTGTTTGTTGTGTTCTTTGTTTGAATTTAGTTAACGGTGTCCAGGGTCTTCAGTCAATCTATTATTAAAGAGATATTTTTTCAACTATCTTTTTATTGGATAGGGTGACAAACGAGCACGCAATCCACCTGATGGTAATATAAGCTGAACTTGACTAATATCACACCTGATGGTTAGTGGTGATGTAGCTGAAGAAGGTAAAGCGCACTAACGTAGCTAAAAAATAATATTCACTCTTGCCTTGAAGTTGAAAAGTTGAATGCAGTGGAGATGCGATCTCTTCGTAAAATGTGCGGCGTTACCATGGCCGACCGAAAGCGAAACGAAGAGATTCGCAATATGGCAGGTTTGAAAGATGACCTTATCACAAAAATTGATAAGGGCGTGCTTCGGTAGTTTAGGCACGTTGAGCGAATGAGTGAAGACCGAATGATGAAGAAAATGTATAGCGCGAAAGTTTATATTAAAAGGTGTCGAGGTAGACCGAGACTAACTTTCGAAGACCATGTGAGCAAATTGCTCGAAGAGGGTAGGGTCAAGGTGTATGAAGAAGATAATGAATCTGAAAGAAGCGAAAGAGGTATGTAAGGATCGTGACACTTGACGATCTGTTCTCTCTGTGGTAAAGTAAAAAATGACTTTCAATAAGAATTACACATGTAATGTATATTTAATAAAAAATATTCTATTCTATTCTATTCTGGCTACCCCGTCAGGGATTGTACTCTTGCCTTGAATACATCCACATTATTATTTGTTATATTCGTCAGATTATAAATAATTATCCAGAGGTGTTGGACTATATCGATGGCATAGCACTTCATTTTTACTACGACACGAGCACTCCCGTTCAGGTCCTACAGAATTTGCAAAGGAGATATCCAAAACTTTTTGTAATCTACACCGAAGCTTGTAGAGGTATGTATTCTTGAAATAAGGAGATAATTGAATTTTACTTGACTTTAAAAAATGCGGCAGCTCTCAATTAAACTGTAAGTTTTTGTGGCCACATGAGAAGCAACAGCTTTCAAATAAAAAGGAAACATCAAAATTGATTCACCATGGAAAAACGTGCTGAGGTAACACATACAAAAAAAATCCAATCCAATTGTGTAGTGACTTCAAAGAACTAATAAAATTTTCAAAGAAATAATAAAATTATAAAAATTATTTCATCATAATATCCTCTCAAGTCGGGGCTATACTATATCTAGCACCAAGTAATAAAGTTGTTATATACAAATTATTTTATTCTTTCTAGATCTTGAAAGTAGCTTTACTTTTTTTTAAAGTCTAAGTCTTCTGTTGTAAGATTAACCAATACTCTTTCCTGAATAGAAATATCACCGAAGAGAATAACGTCATCACTTTACGGTAGTCCACTGCTGGACCTAGGATTTACGCAATATAGTGCTTTATATGAGTCCTTGTCTAGATACAATGAAGGTGAAATACCATTTAGTTAGAAACAACCCGTCCTTCCTTCTGCCACGTCAATCAGTTTCATACACCGCACGCACACAATAGAAAAGTACAATATATTATGTACTACTTCTATTGTAATACTTCTATATGTTTAAATGAAGATGATCTACTTCACCAATGTTTGCCTGGAAGAGATCGCTTTTTAGTGATAAAACCACCTATTTGTGCATAAATCTATAAATTTAAGTTTGTTGTGTTGTGTAATTTGTGCGCAATAAAGAGTATAAATAATGATGGTTGTCCGGGGAAGAACCACGCTCTCAAACAATATCAGCGTAAAATAACAGCTTATGCTGCTGTGTTTCATATGGTGAATGTAGAGAAACAGATACCCTTTTTAATGGAAACGAGGTATAACATCTTAGTCATCCGGGTTGACGACGCATCTGCATTTTGATACTTAATAGAGAATGGATGTAGATATCTATGGGCAACAGCATCTATTTGCCATCAGGTGGACTGTGTACTCGTTTGTCATTCTAATTCTATAATAACTAAATTTGATAATTTTAAAACCCCCCGAACAAAAAGATCTGATGATTTTTGAACCAATTTTGATAAAACATGTCTAAGAACTGTCGCTAGAAATCCTGCTTTTGTATAAAGAAACCACACCCAAATCGGTTCTTCCATTTAAGAGCTACGGTTCCACAGACAAATACACTGACGCACATAGCGGTCGAACTTATAACACCCCTCTTTTGACATTGGGGTTCAAAAAATATAGTATTTTTTTTTAATCTTTCAGGGTATCTTCTAACCGATAAGAAACAAGTCCTATTAGGATCTTGGGAAAGAGCTGAGGACTACATCAAAGACATTATTGAGGTGTGTTTATGTCATGAATTATAACGTGCATAATGGAGAAGAATTTTTGTTATTTAATAGTTATACAATAATCTTCAGAAAATGTTCGAAATGTATATTCTAAAGTTTTAATTATTCCAAGGTACTAAAGGTGCATACAGGTGTGGTGGTGGTGGCATAATACACCTATATACCATATAGTACATCAGCCTATTTCGTTTCGTGGGTATCGTAATAGACGACTATGGAAAATGAGACAAAAATCTCATGACTTGCGACAGATACCGCTGTCACAACCTAGTAGTGTAAACCATGCTGGAAATGTAAACCTGCGTCAAAGGTGTATGCTATATGGTACTGCAAGTATATGGTACTGCAAGATATATGGTACTGCGAAAGACAATCCGTTTGCCAAGCGTGCCGATTATGACAAATCTTCCCCACAATGAAAAGCCGATGTCCAGCAAAGGACCATCATAAGTTAAAGAACTAAAGGCGCACAACAAATACACATTGCACCGCATTATTACTGGGGTCCCAAAAGTTAAGTAACGGAAAAATATTACATAGCAATATCCAAACATTAGGGCAAATCTTCCCTTCCATTAGTCATGCCACATTGCACAAGATTATCATATTTTAATATCTCTGCGGGCTTACCGGACTCTCACTTCAGTTAATCCCGTTGGTCTCGTCTATTAGTCTAGATCTATTTTGGTCGTATGTGCTTATCATCAGGTCCCGGGTTCAAATCCTGGGTCAGGCCAAAATCAGTTATTGGGTTTTTTGTCAATAAATCCTCAGCAGCAGCCCGGAATCAGGAAGTGTGCGGTGTTTCACCCCTAGGAAAAGACGTAAAGCCGGTGTTCCTGCGCGTGATCTCTTTCCAGTCGAACCGGATTGCTGAGAGTGTGCACCTTTGCTTGCACATTTGTTTGCCTTGAGACTGACCGCCATGATCGATATTTAGTTTAGAAACCATTATTATAATTATTTAAAGCGGGTTCATAGTCCTTAAACAACTTTAATTTTAGTTTTTATTTATTTATTTATGTGCAGGATTTGAACAACAATGTAGTTGGATGGATGGACTGGAATTTCTGTCTAGACAAAAATGGAGGTCCAAACTGGGCGGGGAATCATGTGGATTCTCCTATAATTGTGGATGCAGAAAAAGGGGAATTTCTTAAGCAGCCAATGTTCTATGCAATGGGGCATTTCTCGAAGTTTATTCCACGTGGTTCTAGAAGGATCAGGGTAGAGAAGAAGCCTTCATCCAAATACATTAACGAGGTTGCATTTTTGACTCCAAGGAATACCGTCGTCCTTGTGATTTATAATGAGTAATATTTTTTTTTTAATATTAAAATGTATGGTCGTTACCGACCTTTATACAAGCGCAGATCTCTCAATCTCAAATAAAATAAAGCAAACTCCCCATTTTAAGTATAATTCTAAGTGTTAGGACTTTTTTTTGGCCCAGTTTCTTTTATAGAGCACGGGTGACAGGCTAGCACACGTCCCACCTGATGGTAAGTGGAAGCTAAGACACAGATACATTTACATCTATCCTCGATTAAAATACTCGTAAAAATGAAGATGCGTTGTCACCTCTGAGGGCTGAAATGCAATGCCTCGTGTCCAGTAAAAAGGTATCAGGTTCTCCGCACTCACTATTTTAAACACAGCGGCATTGAGCTGCTGTTTTACGCTGGTATTCTGGTTATGTACCACCTTCTCTTTCAGGAAACCATGTGTTATATGGTTTCCTGGAAGAGATCGCTGCTAAACAATAAAGCTGCGAGATGTAGCTTTGTATAAGTTTCGTTACTTTTTTTATTTTCATGTCTATTGGTGTACAATAAAGTATGTTTCATCTATTCATTCACCCCCTCAGCTATTTATGCCACCAAGCCGTCGCTCATACATAGCTGTGTGCCAGTATAATTGCAGGCTGTGAAGCATTCTGTTTAACCCTCAGAGGTGATAATGCTTCCTTAGATACATAGCCTTCTTTGTTTAACGTTGGTTGTAGGAGTCCATGGGCTGCTGTTGCCACACACTATAAGGTGGAGTTAAAGCTCGTTTATAGCTTTAATTAAAAAAAAAACATGACATCAGCGCATATATACAAGTTCAGGATAACTGTTATTTCTTAATTTTTTTAAGTATAATTCTAGGTGGAATTCCTTCTCTACCTAAGGCTCCGTCTGGATAGATACCACCTGTTATATATCTACTGCTGATGCCAAGAAAAAGTGCTTGCACTTCCGTTTTGCGATCTGAAGGGTGTTTAGGCGGGCTGGCAACCGCAATTTTTCATTGAATAAAGTTGTTATCGCCTACTTTGACACCCAAGGGATGATATACAATAATCGATTCCCTTACACCGTTACTACAAGGTATCATTGTAAAATGAATACATCATATAATTCGAATATGCTACTTTTAGTTCTTTGCTTTTATCAATGTATCAGAACTCTATCGGGTCTGCGTTTTGAGTTAAATTAGTTTAAATAAAAAAAAATCCATTATTAACTGCCAGCTCATGCGGTACCTTGAGGATCACCAGCTGATTAGTGACCGCCAATACGGTTTTCGTCGATGTCGATCAGCTGGTGATCATTTGGTCTACCTGACTCATAGATGGGCGGAGGCAGTAGAGTCCAAGGGGGAAGCGTTGACCGTTAGTTTGGACATTGCGAAGGCCTTCGATCGGGTTTGGCACAAAGCGCTTCTTTCGAAGGTCCCTTCCTATGGGCTTCCCGCGAAATTATGCAATTAGATTACCAGCTTATTTGCAGATCGGAGCATCAAGGTCGTTGTAGATGGAGCATGCTCCGACTAGAAGCCTATTAACGCTGGTGTTCCACAAGGCTGTGTGCTATCACAAACGCTGTTTCTTCTGCATATCAATGATATGTTGCAAGCCGATAACATTCATTGCTATGCAGATGACAGCACTGGTAATGCTCTATAAACAGGCCGTGCCAATATTTCTCGGGAAAACGTCATCGAGTACCGGAACAAACTTGTGTCTGTAGTCGAAACTTTGCTGAACAAAGTCTCGGATTGGGGTCGTCTAAATCTAGTCCGGTTTAATCCTCAGAAGACATAAGTTTGCGCGTTTACCGCTAAAAAGTACCCCTTTGTCGTATCTCCTCAGTTTCAAGGCACTCCCTTCTTGTCTCAGCCAATATCGGAATCCTCGGAGTCGACATATCGAGTGACGTGCAGTTTCTTGGTCACTTGGAAGAGAAGGCCAAATTGGCCTCTAAAAAGCTTGGCGTGCTCAGCAGAGCGGGACAGTATTTCATGCCGACATACCGCCTACAACTTTACAAGGCGCAGGTTCGGCCTCACATAGAATACTGTTCCCATCTCTGGTCATGTGCTCCCCAGTGCCAGCTCCTTCCACTTGACCGCATCCAGCGCAGAGCGGCTCGTCGACGACCGAGTTCCTTTCGATCAGCTCGATTCATTGGCACTGCGAAGAGATGTTGCTTACCTTTGCATTTGCTTTCACATTTACCACGGGGAGTGCTCTGAGGAATTGTTTGGATGAATCCCAGCCGCCAAATTTCACGAATGCACATTGCGGCTGAACTTCCGATACCATCCACATCATTTGGATGATTGACGGTCCACCACTATGCGATTTAGAAGATGTTTTCTTTCTCACACAACTTCCTTGTGGAATCGATTACCATCAGCGATACGACTTAGGGACCTTCAAGAAAAAAGCCTATTCCTTTTTAAAAGGCTGGCAACGCATCTGCAATTCCCCTGGTTCCCCTGGTGTTGCAGTTGTTCATGGGTGGCGGTAGTTACTTACTATCAAGTGAGCCACATGCTCGTTTGCCCACTCTCGTATAAAAAAAAACAAGATGTTCACTATGACGACACCTAGATATTCACATAAAAGTTTTCGCATTGAGAGCTCACACAATGTGAGATACATGTAGTGACATTAGTAGACATCAGCATCAACTACCCTATTGTATAGACTGGTTTTAGGTAGCAGCATTACTAGTGCGAGTATCTTTGCTTCTTGGTGTAAGTTCTGGACACCGTTGCAACTCTGTCAAGTCAAGTCAAATTTAAAGTCTATATATTTATTACTTTACAGTGGTGTCAACGATGCTATCGCAGGCGTTAATATAAACAACCGCGAAGCTGCCGTGAAATTGGAAGCGAAATCAATCACAACCGTGGAATTCAACCGCGGAATTTAACATCGAGGAATGCAGTGGTTACGTAATATTTACAATTCAAAATAAATAGATATAAATGTCTCTTTATCGTGAAGTTTGTGTTAATTTATTACCTTGCATTATCCTCATAAACGCTTCCTACATATTTCTACTAATGGCAGTTAGACCTAAGTACTTATTAAGCAATAAAAAAAAAACACTTTTACTACTATCCGTCTTCTTCATTTTAGCGAGACCACTGTAAATGTGGCTGTACCCTTTCAGAGAGACACCCCGAGATCGGGCCCGAGTGTGTAGATGGAATCGCTCGATTCGGCTCGATGTGGGTGTTTAGCCCGCTAGCCGTCAAAGTGATAAATTCTCACACGGAATGGCGCAACATACGCAAGAATTCCCCTCTGTCAAAGTATAACTTCACGCAGTCCTATGTGTACAATAAAACTAGTTGCAACTGTACTGTGCATTATACTAAATCTAAAATATGGCATATTTTCTATTATTTTGTTAATTACGGTATGTATGGTATGTGAATAAAAAAGTCTCGTTGTTGATTATTTGCATGATTTTGATGAATACGAGTACATATTTAAAGAAAATGTTTCACATGTACGCAAGCGATTGAGTCAACCATATCAAAATTAATGTCGATATTTATCTTGAAGGTTAACATTGAATCGATAGACTTTAATAACAAGAATAATATTAAAAATAAAAAAATAATAATAACTGTTCTGAAAAGTTAATTTTATTTTGCTGTTTGTTAAAAACATTCCTTATGGATTCTATAATTAGAAAAATTATATTGGTAAATCCAATTGGGCATGCCCTAAGCGCGTTAAAAAAATACGTATAACATGATTATACGGAATTTTTAAAAGTAGTTTAAATACATTTCGCTAGCACTATCGGCTTCAACACCCTCGAAACCCATGAAAATAACACCCATCATAAAAAAACTGATACCTATTGCAGCCGCCATCTTGGATTTACATTTCGACAGCAATATCGGCTTCAACACCCGCGAAAACCGTGATAATTACACCCATGATGAAAAAATTCATACCTATTGCAGCCGCCACCTTTTGCCGTGTAGTGGCGATTAAGAATATCCACTACCCTATATTTTCCCATGGGTGTCGTAAAAGGCGACAAAGGGAAACAGGCAAGAGATGGGCAGCAGCATCTTCCTGATAACAACAAAAGTACAATAAACAAAAACTGCGGTTGCCAACCCGCTCGCCAAGCGTGGCAACTATGGTAAATACCTCCAATGATTAGAGCAACAAAAAGAAGGCCCCAAGTCCCCGGTGGCCCTGCTATTCCTGACTACGTTGGCGACCATATGATAACAGCGGGGCAGGGGGTGCTAAGAATCTCCGGTGGAAGATCGGTTGCCACCTAAGACGACCCGACCTGGTAACATACAACGCACGCACCCTAAATACTGACGAGAAGATCGTGGAGCTGGAAGAAGAGATAGACAAATTACGCTGGCATATAATAGGATTATCCGAGATCCGAAGAGAGGGGGAGGACACGGTAAGCCTTGAATCTGGCAACTTGCTCTATCACCGGGAGGGCGACCATCTGTGCCAAGGAGGTGTCGGATTTATCGACCACAAGTCCCTCGTTAACAACGTTGTAAAGATTGAGAGTGTGTCGACGAGGGTTGTGTACCTTATACTCGGAATCACCTAACGGTATTCGCTGAAGGTCATACAAGTGTCGGCACATCCCGATGAGGAGGTGGAGGAAATGTATGAGGATATGTCTAGAGCCATGCATTCCTCCAAAACCCACTATACGGTGTTAATGTCAGACTTCAATGCAAAACTAGGCACAAGAGAAAACGGTGAGCTGAAAGTAGGGAAATTTGGAATAGGTCAACGGAACCCAAGGGGCCAGCAGGTGGCCAACTTCATGGAAAAAGAGGGATTCTTTATGATGAACTCTTTCTTCCATAAGCGGCCCCACAGGAAGTGGACCTGGTCGAGCCCCGACGGTTCGACAAAAAATGAGATTGACTTCATTATGACGACCAGACGACAACAGTTCAGTGATGTTTTCGTGATCGCGAGGGTAAAAACAGGTAGCGATCACCGAATGGTTAGAGGCACACTGAACCTAAACGTT